CAGCTTCTGGCTCACCACGGTGGACCCCCGAGAGGAGTTTATCTTCTCTCCCAACCCGGACACTCTGAAGGGAGGGCAGGAGCGCTCCAAGGTTAGTCGCTGTCAAGTCTGCAGCAAGATCTTGTAGTACCGGGAGCGACCACACGGGGGAGACGTTCAAGAACAAAGTGACTGAAAATGGCGGACATCTTTGGCAGTGATGATGTTTGTGATGATGTTTGCCATGAGGAGTGAATGGGAGAAAAGAATTCAATATGAGAAAAAGTTACACTGCAAAAAGAGAGATGTTAGTTAAAATGACTGAAATTCTAATATTTGTTTTGTTTTGTAATAGTTTTGACAGTATACATGTGGTCTTCTGATAAAACTGTAGATAAAACTGTTCAAGAAAGGTCAAATTTTATCCAGTTATGTGATTTTTTTTTGATTTTTTTTTTTTTTTTTTTAGTATCAATACCTACTCAAATGACTATCTACCATAATTTTTAAAGAAATGAATCTTCCTGGATGGGAGGCAATTATATTCCATTGGTAGATAACTACCAAATAACAAGTGCATTATAATCTAACTTTTTTGGAGAAAGTTCTGCCACCTGCATGTCTCCATAGAAATCTTGTAAGGTTCCACATTATGGCACAGTATTCATTTATTTAATTACAGGAGTTTTTATTGCAAAGGAAATACCTGAAAAAACATGCGTTCTTTGTTGTGGCTTGTCTTCATGGAGTTTCATGTCATATTGCGGAACATTTTAGGCAAAAAAATAACATCTCCATGAATACAAGATGGTGGCAAACCCTCAACTAGAAAATGTGCGTAGTGAAACTTAAACTCAATCTAACCACTTAAAGTCAAGATACTGAATTCAAGTCATTTTAACTAATGAGCTTTCAGTTTTCGCAGTGAATGTGACTTGTCTCGATTATCACTGACGATGGTGCTATTGTTTTAAATGTCTTAAATGTGTATAATTTTGTGTTTCCTTTTTGGTTTTTGGCGAGCCTCATTCTCGGCTACCTCGGAGAGTGTCACCCCTTTCACGTAGCACTGTATCACTCACATACACTTTACATCAGACCAGCCACTACTTCTTATATCAGTCTGTTTAATTCAAAGTAGATGTTGTAGTGTTAGTCTATCTTGAGACTAAGCACTACATTTGCTTTTTTCACTTCTAAACTGTGTGTATGATGTTTAAAAATACATTTCAGTAGTGTCAACTCATTTGCCTAGACCAATAATGGAGCTATTAATACAAGAAATAAGTGTGCAAAACATGAGGCCCTGATATTTAGCTTAAAGGTTCACTATGGAACTTTTTTGTTGAAGGATCCCCTACATGCTTGTGTCCATGGAGATGTTATTGTTTTGTCTGCAGTGTTCCACGATATAGCATTAGTATGGCACTGATATATCTTATATTTATTCAATTACAGGTGTTTTTATTGCTCAAAAAAACCAAAAACATTCTTCTTACTGTGAGCGGGGTTGCCTCTCCACAGATCTGACCTATAACTATTGGCACCATCTGTTTGTTTTCATAGAGATAGATAGGAAAGACATAAGTATAATACCAAACTGTGGAACATTTCTGGCAAAATATATAAAATACTGCATATTTTATAGATCTCCAAGGACACAAGTAGGTGGCAGAACCTCCACCAGAAAAGTTACATGAAGTTGAATAAGTTGAAATAATTTGTTGAAATTTATCTTATAATTTGATCATTGGTCTATTATATCTTAAAATGGCACCAATCCATATTTTCTACTAGGTTTTATATGGGTATTTTTGTATCAAACTATTTCTGTCAGTAAGCAGTTATTTTTGTAATTTTTTATTCTGATTTCTGATTCTGATAATTCTACAACTCATCTTTTTACCAGTTCAGTATTTTTGCCAAATTTGGTGCTACATCTACCACCAACTGCAAGCACTTTCCTGCCTAAACCTTCTGTCACAGTCTGTCGAATGGGACCAAACCATTCTAACTATTGCACTGAGGTGAACTGCTACTAAGTCAATTACCACACCACTTTTTCACCTTTTCTTTGAGATTTACAGAATGTTGTTTTGTTTTATTCCAACAAGAATCAAGAAGGATGCTTTTCATGCAACTCATTTCACCCATTTTCAATTGTCTGTTATTGCTGTACATAAAGCTTGAAAAAACATTATATTTGAACAAAAATATGTGACGTTCAAGTACAATTGTAAACTTGGGGATTTCCTGTTTTTCTCTTGTGGATATTAATACAGATTTGAATTTGCATGTTGTTGGAGATTATAACCACTACGACCACTGCGTCTCACCTCTCTGCTGGTAGCCCCACTTACTTCCTTAGTTTTATTTTCATTTTGTCTGCATATGTTGTTTTTGTAATCTAGATTGTAATTATTTTACCTAAGTTCTAATACTTTCATATATAACAGAGAGGGTGGGAAAAGAATATGATTTGTACATTAAATATTTTAATGAAATGTCTTTAGGATAATGTTTTATATGGAGAGTATAGCCTGATCATTTACACATGTCAAAACAGTCTAGTGTATTTTTGGTGTTAGCTTTATGTTCAAAACCAAAACATCTGGAAGTGCCTGGAGTAACAAAGTATTCCTCAAATGTTTTCCTCAAAGAGGATCAATGATAAAAAGTAATAAATAAAGCTGTAACATGATACTGTAATATGTATCTATGTGCCCACATTCAAAATAAAGTCTAAGAAAATTAACTACGTGTGTAATGTTTCTTTCAAGGCTGGTAGTTTTTTTGATACATTTAATTAATATATCTTTGTAAATTTTCCAGTGCACAAAACTGTTAATTGACAAGATAAAGGAGAATAAAATGAATGTGAACATTTATACTACAAAGTGCTCTTTGGTGAAATGATATAACTATCAACACAGTGTCTCTAAGTTGGGAGTTTTGGAGTATTTACATGATAATATAACTGTTACTTAGTAACTATTGTATACACTGGGACAAAACATATTTTCTTGTGTGCAGAACTAATCCCATGTGCTTCCAAACACTCTTCCTGCTTCTTGTAATTTTTTAGAATGTATTTTTAAAACTTTTCCTCACAAATTGCTTCTAATTTATATCCGAATGACTGTTTGTCTATATTTATATCCCACCAAATTAAGTAAAAATTGTAGAATCATAAAAACCTGCCATACACAAAATGTATTAGTTAAAGTTCGACTATTAGACAAATGTAATGTAAAATTTCAGAAATATAATTTTATCATCTAATTTATTTGGAAGTTTATAAGGTTTTCCCATTTTAATTAATAATAAACCATAGGCCTGTATCCTACTCAATATCCAATATTCAGGCCTTCAAAACAACATCCACAATATCAGATATATTTTGATATTCTGGGCATTTCTGCCTGAGAGACTGCCCTGGCCCGTGACGTCTGCTGTAGTACCTCTCATTCACCTGTAGGTGTATCCTCAGCTCCACTGTTCACTGCAACGACGTCCATCCACCACGAAGAAACGTGCAGAAACAAAACAAACCAGCGGAGATCTTTTTCTTCTGATCTGGGCCCTTTAAACAGGTGAAAAAGACTCACGGCTTCATAAAAAGTCTGATGAACGGCTCTTTTTAGCGGAGATCTGATCAGAGTGTCAACAGAGCGTTTTTGTGGTGTGTGGTGTTAGCATAGAGGCTAGCCTGTATGTTAGCCGCTCTCTGCGTTACAAAACGCTGAAAACATAGAAAGGAAATAAACACTGTAACATAAATGTGATTAATGATTATAGATTACTGTTTTCTTCTAGTATATTTGAAACTGTCATGTTTATCCTATTATAAGATAAATGGAGAGTTTTCACAAGCTAACTGCTAACTACTTCATGTTATACCTAATACAATGTACTTAGTAGGTTAGAAATTATGTTTTCGTATAACATTTAATGATCTTTTTCATTGCTCTGTATTGTTTTACTGCTACAAAGAAAGAAAATGAAAGAAAAAAAATGAAATTAGTAAATACCCTAAGCATTGTACATTCAGCAAAGATATTTGTCTTCATTGCTTGAGAAATAAATCCACTCACTAGCAGTTTTCGAAATTTCAGCGTTTTAGAAGTTTTAGAAGTTTCAGCGTTTTTCATTGTATTTTCAGCGTTTATCATTGTATTGGGAGTGACTGTACAGCTGAATCTGCCTTTTCACTTATGAAGATGCTGTTTACTACTAGGGGTGTGCAAAAAATATCAAAATATCAATATATATCGTATCGTTTGTGATACTGTATCCTGTGATGATACAGTATTGACATTGTGGGCTGCTGTATTGATATATCGCCAAGAGTATTTTTTTGGTACATTTTATGAAATTATTTTGTTACAGTGCTACAGTTTTATTTTTTGTTTAGAGGAAGGAAACTCGTTTATGCAATACATTTGACATTTTCACTGTTTTGATGATTAAAATGGGTGTGTTTCATATTCACTTTGCACAAGAGGTGGTGTAACAGACTTGTAGTATCACAGCCATCACTCATATCAAATTGATTTGAGATATATCGTACTGAATCGTATCGAATCGAAAGGTCAATGTATTGAGATATGTATCGTATCATGGCCCATGTACCGAGGTTTGTATCGTATTGGCAGCTTCTTAATGATACCAGCCTTATTTACTAGTACTTATCTATATAAAGAATAGCTTTGCACAAGATCCTTATAAGTATGACTTTCTCCCACCCCTTTCACCTCCCTTTTAGTCAGTTAATTGCCTACAGCCCCAAACATTAGTGAGTGAAACAAATGCATTGAGAATGAACTGATAAGCATAGCTTATTTTTGGTAAAATACAAACTTCACCTTTAACTCCTCTCCTCTTCTTCTCTCTGCAGTTACGCTGGACTTTTCTGACACACGCTCAGACATGTCCTATGTCTTCATCAATGACTCGTCCCAGACTGCGGTGCCTCTGCTGCAGGCTTGTATCGACGGGGACTTACCCTTTGCCAAGAGGCTCTTGGAGACGGGCTGTGACCCGAACATCAGGGACAACCGCGGGCGCACCGGGCTGCACCTCGCCGCCGCCCGGGGCAACGTGGAGATATGCCGACTTCTGCACAAGTTTGGGGCCGATCTCCTAGCAACAGATTACCAAGGCAACACAGCCCTGCATCTGTGCGGACATGTTGATACCATACAGTTTCTGGTGTCCAATGGGCTCAAGATTGATATCTGGTAAGATTGTAAGCAGAAGCATTATGTTCTTTGTGGGGTTTGCCTGTTCTTCTCATGTATGGGTGGGTAGGCACTGATCGGTTTTCCCCATCAACCCAAAACATGCACCATATGTACAATTCTCCAGCTAATGTCATCCTGACCAGCGAAAAGATCATGGAGATGGGTCCCACTGCTCCTAATGAGGCATTGAAGGGTGGGTCCAATGCAAAGGACAAATTTCCCCTATCCTAACCAAACATGATACAGACATTGATGTAATTTTATTTGTCCTTAAGGAGTCCATGGTTGTAAAGGTTTCAAAGTATTTAGTTCAGTATATGTTTTTTGAAAAACATTGTTCAGACCTTTAAAACCATTTCTACTGTAATAGCACAGTATGTTTATTTTGTAAGAATTTATACCTTGCTGGAGATAAACATAATTTGAATACAAAGTTTTACTACAGCATTTTTAAATATATTTTACTACAGTATTTCACAAACCTTGTTCCTATGCTAAACAATTGAGGTAATTCTGTCATTTGTTTTAGAAAATATAAAAAACTTTAACACAAAATCATGATACATTTTTAAGTGATAGTTGAAAAGTGCTATGCTAGACAGTCATTGACCAGAAGAGATGTGACGATTATGTCTCTGTGCAGTAATCACAATGGCTCAACGCCGCTGGTTTTGGCGAAGCGTCGCGGTGTGAACAAAGATGCCATCCGTCTGCTGGAGGGTCTAGAGGAACAGGAAGTGAAGGGCTTCAACCGCGGAGCTCACTCCAAACTAGAGACCATGCAGATGGCCGACAGCGAGAGGTAAGAGAAGAGTCCTCTGCAGCTGATCACAGATAAAAACAGAAATCTTTGACAAACAGAGTAAATAAAACCTTTAGAACCCCTCACTCACTATTTGATATATTCTCAATACTATTTTTGGAAATTAAGCAGGGTCAGGTGTGGTTAGTGCTTGGATGGGAGACGCTGTGCATACCAGGTGCCACGAGGGGGCAGCAGTGGATCTAATGGAAACTGCACGAATGTATTAGGGTTGGTGGTGAAAGAGGCCGATGGCGCAGCTTTTTATTATGGAGAGAATGTATATTGCCTTATAAATCTAAAGCATTTTAATGTATTGTTACCACATGTTTGAAAGTGGTTATGAAGTTTACTACTGTACGGCCATGTTTTCTATTCTAATTTATGCAACAAATGATATGATTCATTTTAATTAATGTCATAGCCCTGAATGATATACTAGTGCACCCCCCCAACTCACCTTGTAGTTGCTAGAATAGGATCCAGAAGAAACTCTGTAACCAAAAAATGTTTTCATCAATAATATAGTTCTAGGCTTGCCTTCACTTTATACGCCACTCCACTCTTTTATCTCTTAAATGTAACAGACCATAGTGTAACATTGAGGGTATTCCATCAAAGTTGCTTAACAAGTCCAGATTCATCCTGAAATCCAGATAGAGGTGGAAATGAACTCCGTCTCCATCTTAAGCCTCAAGTCGTTCCAGGGTAGAAAGACATCTGAGTCTGACCGACCAAAGGTAATTCAGGCCTGAAGTTTAAGCTGCACTTTGTGCATGCTCCTGGTGATTCTGGCAAGGGCAGATCAATGGAGCAACGACATCACACAGACTTTTCTATAGTTTGTGCCTTTTTGATGAGTGCAGCGACCACAGACACGAGTGTCCTGTGCATAGACGTTTATGGGCTGTAAAAGTCTTAAGGGACAAAACTACAAAAGTCACTTTTTGAACTGTATCAGACAGAGACAAGTGCTCTAACACAGGTGTGTGAGTGCACATGGTGAAACATTTGACTCAACTGTTTCCTTAGACCAGGGGTCATAAAATAAGGCCCGCAGGCCGACTCTGACTCGCCACACCCCTTTGATCGGCCCACCAGTCCCTCTTCCCCCTCCAGTTGAACTGGCCATATGAGGCAAATGTTAAAAGTTGTCATGGCCTATTTTTTTTTATTCTTCATCTTGTATTTAGTTGATTTTTTTTTCAATTAAAAAAAGATATTTTTGTGAAGTTTTTATATTTATATTTGATGAACGTATTTACATTTGCTGCCAAATTTGCAGCTGAATTTTCATCACCTAAAAAGCTCGACATCAAACAGTGACAGTCAACGCACATGCAGAGTTCTGTAGTGCAGTTAATGTCAACCTTTCATACATAACACTTGCCAGAGAGTGCCAAGTTTTCAAAGAACAGTGGATGACCAATTATTTTTTTGTTCGGTGTAAGGACTGTGCAGTTTGATGTGTAAAGAAAGTGTGGCTGTTTTCAAAGAATATAATCTGCGTCGTGAGGGTCATACAATTCTTAAGTTATATATAAGTTATACGGCCTTAGCTAAAATAATCTTGACAGTTAAAAGATGTTAAAAAAAAACAAGGCACTCACTGGTTCAAAATAAAATGCCTTTATTAGTTTACAGCATGTCTTAATGGACAACTTAAAAAGTCCCGACGCGTTTCAGCCTATGGCTTTCCTCAGGGGACAAACCGCCCTGTCCCCTGACAGTGAACCAGTGGGTGCCTTGGGTTTTTTTGCATCTTTGTACTGACTTCCCTTCCCAAAGAGCACCACTGAGTTGGATCTACTGTGTATTATCCTCTGGAGGTCCAGGAAGCGCTTCTTCTGAAACATTTTTTTAATCTTGACAGTTAGCCCGAGCCCAGTCCTGACCAGGTTTGTTTCCGGGTGCTTGTTACTGCAGCAACACAGCCCCTCCTCTGGTTAGTCACTTTGGTAGAACTGAAGTGAGTCTTTGATAAGCCTGGATTGCCCAAATAAGTCAGTCAGGCTTTCACTTTAAATCGCTTCATGGAAGACCCCATTGTTCAGTACAAATCATATATTTCTTCTTGCAGTGCGATGGAGAGCCACTCGCTCCTGAATCCAAACCTGCAGAGCACAGAGGGCGTGCTGTCTAGTTTCCGCACCACATGGCAGGAGTTTGTGGAGGACCTGGGCTTCTGGAGAGTTCTGCTTTTGCTCGTCGTCATAGCACTGCTGTCTCTGGGCATCGCCTACTATGTCAGCGGAGTCCTGCCATTCTCCACCAGCCAGCTTGAGCTCGTGCACTAAGACTACACCCACACCACCCACAGGACAGTACAAGACAATACACAGTTTAACACTACCAGACAAAGGTTTGGACACACTTTTTCATTTATGTTGTTTCTCTTTTTTGTCATTTTATTTTTATTGACGGTTTTACAAAATAGTAAAAGAACAACAAGTGCAGTTGGAGGTATACTAGTACATGCATAGACAGAGCAGCACAAACCATTCACTAGACTTCGTTTGCTTTGATCACAGTGGCCAATTGACACTTCTAGATTCAATTTCAGGGGACTTGAATATTAAATATAAAATATATTTAAAGTTTTTTCCTTTACTACATAATTCTTATATATTGCATCATATATTTGATGTCTTCTGTATGTATCTAAAGTGTCCAAACTTTTGACTGGTTGTGTACTTAATTATTGGGAGAAAGTCTGGTTACACTTTATAATAACTACTAATTAACTACTAACTAATCTTAATTAGCCTCAATAAAGCATGAAAAAAGACTTATCGGTAATTCATAATGAATGAACAAATAGTTTATTAAGAATGACTGGCGCTTATTTAGGTTCAGATTTGTAACCCTAACCTTTAGATTAGCAGTATAGATTATGGGGATATGTAAGTAGTTACTAAATCTGAATCTTCTTAAAAGGTACATTTTGTATCTTTTCTGGTGGAGGGTCCGTCAAATGCTTTTCTCCATATACTGTAGATGTTATTGCTTTGTCTGTAATGTTTCACAGTATGGTCTTAAACCTCTCTATCCGTATGGAGACCAAACCAGACCAAGTTACAGGTCAGATCTGTGGAGAGGCAACCCTGCTCATTCAGAATGCCTGTTTTTCAAGGTATTTTTTGAGCTATAAAACCACCTGCAATTTAATATATGTATGGTAGAGCTGTTTAAAGTCATACAGTGGAACATTCCAGGCAGAGCAATGACATATCCAGTGAAACAAGCAGGAGATGGACCCCAAACCAAAAGTAGTAGTGCACAATTTGTTCATTTTGAATTAAGTCTTTCTTCATGTTTTTTATTAAGACCAGTTGGGTGTAGGTATTATAAATGTCATAGAATGTCTACTATTTTCTCTCTGATTTGGTCATCTGTCACAAGGTCTTAGACTTGTTAGATTTAAAATAATGAGCTTGTACAGTAAAGGTATTTCCGGCTGCAAGTACAAATATTTCCAAGATTAAAGTTAACTTAAAATGAATCTTTAGATTTTTGTTATCTTGTGCTATGAGTGGGTTGCTTAGGCATATCAAGTAGTTATCAATGCATTTCCACTTTGGAGTAGCTGACAGGTTAAAGAAAAGCTGTTCTAATTTGGTGGTAGCAGCCTACTTCTGTTGTGGCTGAAGTGTGTTGCCCAGTGGCACAACATCAGTCCCCAATGCAGGAAATGGGGATCAAATTGGCAACCTTTGACGGGGTGGTAAATATATTTATAAACTGAGCTGTTGTTGCTCTAATATTATAATCTTTGTATGTAAACTAATAGGGTTAACAAACTTTCTCCATAGGTGCAATCATACTCTGTCCAGGTTTAGTCCAGGTTTAGTCCCACTTCAGTCTCAGTTTTGTAGTGGTTTCATGTCCAGAGGTGGGTAGTGTAGCCGAAAGTTGTACTTGAGTAATGTTACTTCAAAATAATATTACTCAAGTCGAAGTGCAAAGTAGTGGTCCAAGAAGTTAGAGTTAACTTAGAGTAACTGTCAGGACGTAAGATCTGATTTATAATTTAAAGTTAATGTAATTTGAATGACAAAACATTAAGCACACACAAAATCTGCTCTGAAATTTTCATCTCATTTCATTTTATCAACATAAAGCTTTTGTCACTTGTAGACTTACTCAAATAATTATACTGCTACTTAAATGAAAATATTACTCAAGTAGGAGTAAAAGTACGCTACTAGAAAAGAACTTTGAAAAAAACAGTTTCTTTAAAAAGTTACTCAAGTAAATGTAACTGAGTACTACCCACTTCTGATCACAGTAGTATTAGTAGTAGTAGTAGTAATCTCTGGAAATGTTCTCTTGTCATCTTCTCCAAACTTGACATATTAAAACAGTTAGCCACGTTCACATTCACACAAAACAGAAATGCTCTTTGTATATAAAAATGTATGATTGCCTCAGCTGACAGGAACAATTACTGTAATATGAAGTAACAGTCTTTCTATTGTCTCATTTGTATTGTATTATTTGTGATTAGTTAATTTTATCTGTTACAAGCTGTACATTGTCTATTGTAATCTATTTATCACTTATTTTCCATGTATTTTGTCTAATTTGCATATGACTTTTGCCTGTTAAAATGCTTTGTATAGGTTTGTTTGCATAATCCTGTGCCTTTTGAAGGACACGCTTCACCTGTGACATTCCTGCTTTAAGTCATGCAGTTTACCTTTGCAGCCGATCAATAATGAAAGACAGTGTTGTACATTTATTATTTTAATGTTCAATCTTAATTATAGGAACCTAATTTAACAAACAAATAAACTCTTCTAAAATTATCTGTATGTACTGACTCTTATTCTGCAACTTCATCATTGGATGCATGTGGTATGGTATTGGAGTATAGTTCCCAAAAGCTTGGTGCAATTTTATTATTGTTTCTTTAAAGATATAAGATATATGGCAAATATACAGCTCAAACTGTCAACTGTGTGTGTGTCTGTGTATCTGTGTATATCTGTGTATAGAAAATGCACACACATTAATTTGCTTTACAGTTGTGTTGTGCATTTTTCATTCACTGGAAAGCTTCTGTTGTAGTCACAGCTGCCCTTGGTGGAAGTAAGGCTGCCAATCTGCGCCATTGCCCTGTTTGACCAAGACAAACACTCACACACCATAGTCATACAAAGTGCCTGTTACAGGTTAAACTACTCATTTTACTTAAACATTTATAATTTAAGTTTTTGCAAAAAAAAAATTTAAATCTCTCCTCACAGTCACACATGACACTTGCAAATGTTAGTTCCATCTACATAAGGACACAGAAGTTTGAAAACATGAAACAAAACTTTATTCATCATAATAAAATGTAAACACAGTCAAGTCTTATTGTACCATATCATTCCTTCCAGGTGACAACAATCCCTGTGTTTTCCATGTGTTACTTTCCATTTTCAAAACTAATAACAGTGAAATAATAATAAGAACACCTGCAATTGTTTTTTTTTTTTGTTTTTTTTTTTGAGCCAGGTCTCTCTCTCTCTCTGTTTGGTTGGGAGGTTGGTTATAGATAAGTTGGGGATCCCTATACACTTTGCATCAAGCAGATTTTCTTTGTTAGACACATTAGTTTATCAGTTGTTGCCACCCTTGTTGTATTGAGTTTTCCAAATTCTCCTTTTTAGATCAGGTAGGCTAGGCTTTTTGATTTCTTTCCTTTTGCAGCCAAGTTTTCAGTTAGGGCCTGTTTTGTTATATTTTTGGTTTGTTGATTTGGCACAACTGGCACATGCCTTCTCCCACCAACCTTTTGTTTGTTTTTACACGTATTGGTGAATGTTTGGCCTAAAAATAAAAAGTGCCAAACCTACTTGCCTCAAGGATTGTTTTATACTCGTTGTGTACCTTGTTGGGCATAGGGGACATAACATAACATATTTTTTTACTTTAAAGCTTTCAGGTCAAGATTCGTTTTATCAATCAATCAAATAGTAAGAATCAATACAGCTACAGAGAAAATACGTAATAACACAGAAAGTACGGAGATAGTCCAGAGTGTGGGAGAGGGCGTGGCCTGCAAAGACAGAAATAGTGTTACTACATTTAATACAATATGTACATGTTAATGATCTGCATGGAACTACAGAGAAATATTCTAGAGTAACTTCTGGTGGAGGGTCAGTCAAATGCTATTTTCCATAAAGATGTTTTTTGCTTTATCTGGAATATTTCACAGTATATACAGCATTAAATCTTTCTATCATCATGGAGACCGAACCAGACCAAGTTACAGGTTAGATCTGTGGAGAGGCAACCTCGCTCACAGTCAGAATGCCTGCTTTCTAGGTATTTTGGATGTGTAAAACCATTTGTAATTGAATAAATGTAAGGGTAGATCTGTTTAATGTCACACTATGGAACATTCCAGGCAGATCAATGACATTCATAGAAACAAGCATGTGATGGACCCTCAGCCAAAATGTTTCACAGTACACCTTCAAATAAACAAAAGAGAAACAGAAAGTGGTGGCCTTATTCAAAACCAAAGATGTGATTATGATCGCTGCACAAGCCATTTGAAATTATGATGTCATCAAACTTTAAAATTAGAACATAACCTAGTGTCGGAGGTGGGGAGCAATTAGTTACATTTACTTCAGTAACTTTTATAAAGAAATTGTACTATTCAGAGTATTTTTCTGGAAGCACACCTTTACTTCTATTTGAGAAATATGTTTATTGAAGTAACAGTACTCTTATTTGAGTAAAAGTTTTGGTTACTCTTCCAGCTGTGAGTAAATCTAAGTGGATTAAGGATTTGAACATTTGTGTTTTTTGCACTGCTCCTTCAGATATACTGTAGTTTTTCTAATTTTTGTGTCTATCCTTTGAAAATACCAGATTTTGTGCATTATTTTATGTTTTGTCCTTCAAATTACATTAAGTTCAAGTTCAAACCACTGTGTTTTTAAACTCTATACACCTTCACTAGAATCATTTGGATCATTTCAGCCCTGGAATTTCCTATCTCAGCTGAATTAAATGTAAAAGGTAGCTATTGAAAACTTTTTTTTTTTTTTTTTTCAGAAACTTGGTTTCTGAGCTATGTTTTTGACAAAGTAACAACAGTCAATTTTGTGTAATAAAGAACCTTTAAGTTACTCTTATTTGAGTAGTTTTCCAAAATAATTGTTTACTTTTACTTGCGTAAATTCTTGGACCACAACTTTGTACTTTCACTTGAGTAATATTATTTTTAAGGAACATTACTCTTACAGTACCTGAGTACAAATTTTGACTTCTCTACCACATCTGCCTAATGTTTCATTAGTGCATAGATAAGTTCTGAATACTCACAGCATTGCTTTCCGTGATGAGAAGGCTCTGATTCCCATTTGCGTTACTGACCCTGAGTTGGAGTACGGTCTGGGTGTAGTACTTCTCAGAGGCCTGGACCTGACAGAAGAATGATCTGATCCTGGTCTCGACTGTGGACAGACTGAAGGGTGAGGGACAGGTCTCCTCTGTTATAGGCATCCTGGGACATCTTCACTCTGCCTCTGAACCTTTCAGTGACAAAAAATATATATAATAATAATAATTAAAGGTCCTATATTACACAAACTGGATTCTTGTGAGCTTGTGAGCCTAAATGTACTTCAGGGGATATCCATGCCTGGGCACGGTTTGATTGGGTTACTGTGTGTGCGCTGTTAAACAAGTCTCTTACACATACAATTACAATCATACACTAACTAGCATTAGCCACAGTTTTTCACCTTTTTGTTGAAAATCAAACACCAAATCAGTACGACCATGAACGCTTGTATTGATCACAGGCTCTTGAAAATGTGTTGTTTAAATCTTTTCTGTGTTTTTTTCTTGAGTGTTCAACAATCTTGAAACTTTTTTTGTCAGTATGCAAATGTGTGTGTTGTGTCATTAGTTGTGAAGTTTCTGGTGGGACCTGGAAGTGACGTCACACTTAATAACTCTATATTCTCAGCCCTAATAATAATGCCGACATCAGTTTAATTATAAAATAGGCCTCACCTGTCTCCATAAAGTATCTTCTTGGGCTCAAATCTGTGTTCAATGACCAGCTCTGACCCTCTTTTCCAGCGCACACTCTTTATTGCTTCTTCTCTGGTTTTGAAGTAACATGGCAGCTTCACAGATCCTCCCAATGAGCAGCACATATCATATGGGACCAGAACCTTCAGCTGAAAGAGAGAGAACTTTTGAGCGGTCAAAAGAATAAAAAATCGGATACTAACCAATACCAAGACTAGAATCAAAACTAGATATTCATTTGAGCAGGTATTGATTCTAAAAAAGTCACATTCACAGGACAAAAATGTACTTTTCCATAACAGTATTAAAACGGTCTAGGACTTAGCTTTTTTTGAAAAGTCCCTTAATTTGAACAATGTGAAGAGTTAGAATCAGACCTTTTATTGTTTGGAAAATCCTATCTTGAACACAAACAATGTTGTTTAATAACTTCATTCCCTCTTCAGAGCACTATCACAACACAATCAGTGTTCATCCCACTAATTGTGAAGATGTAGTGTGTTGTTTTGTATCACATTTTTGTATATTTATGGAGAATAGTCATGTGGGAGCATGGGTGACATAGTCTTGCTGGCAGAGCTTTGGATAGGATTGTACAGATCATAATAAGGGTTCAAATAAGGCCGGGGAGAGATCACTAGGTTACTGAAACATGCACAGATGACATATACAATCATTTCAAGCATGTTTTTGATGACTCCTTTAATAAAATGGGTTAGTTATTGTTTTGTTACTGGATGCTTTACCTCAAGGACTTTTGCAATGGGACTACAGTTAAGTATATAGATTCCTTCGTCGTTGATCATCGCCTGTTTAAACTCTACGCCGCCCCCTGGAGTCAACCGATCTTCATAGCCAGACGCTGGAGACCACTGACCCTTTCTAAAAATGGCCACATGTTGAGGTGCGTGTTGAGGTGTTAGCTGGTGTTGAAGCAGAGACCCACTCGGGCATCGTTCTGGGTCAACCAGGGTCACTCTCTCCCCAACCAATGTCTCCACATAAGCTCCAGAACCTCCAGAAATGCAGCGCAGTAGAAACAACAACAACATCATGTAGGGGGTCCAGGCCTAAAACAAAATTACAAAACATGGCTATAAATTATGTTTAGAAAAAGGTTTGTGAATCAGATACTAATTGATGCAACTGAAACCGAAAATAGATACTCATTTGAGCAGGTATTCATACTAAGTTAAATCACAATCACAGGACAGAAATTAACCTTTTCTGAAAAGCTTTAGAATGATCTTGAGCTGTGTTACGAGCCAGGCCCTTGTGGGTTGTAGGGGAGGACTTGTTAGCTTTGTGCCCAGGTCTTCTGGCCTGCCCCTGTGATCAGCTTTGTTTTATGCACCACACTCACATCGCACATACACCATTTCCATTTGCATAGTACACACCAAACTACACTACTGTCTACAACATCAACATTATGTTGTGAATATTATTCGTATTACATATTTTGTAAATTAAAACCTTATTATGAGTATGTTAAACTTGGTATCATATCCCCTTTTTGTTGTGCACCTGAGCCAGGCATAACAAGCCGTATCACAACAAGTATAAAAGCACATAGACTAGTATACGCCCATGGACGACTATGGAACCTACCTGGACCATTGAGGGATTGCACAGATATAAGGCCACAAGGGAATATAAAAGAAAGTACTGACATTTAATGTTGAAAATCACATTCTATTTTAAAGAAAGTGTTTTTTGTTATCATTGTGGTGTCAGAATTGTCATGGAGTATTGAGTCTATTCCTTAGTGTTGAAATCGAGTCTGAAATTTTTGTACCACAACAGTGACAAGTGACTCTAAGATAAAGTTTTTTTTTTTTTTTGCCATATTTTATTTTTGCTTTTTGTCTGAGTTATACAATACACAACAAAAACATAGTTGAACGACAAAACCCCATGCCCACCCCGCTCACCCACAAAAAAAAAAAAAGAAGAGGGAGGCTGCTTCTCACAACCACACATTTCAATAGTTCACATAGATACACAGAGGTCAGTTGAGGCGACGTTCATATAATCCAAGTAAGGCTGCCATATTCTAACAAAGGTGTTGTAAGCCTTTCTGAGGCTATAAGTGATCTTTTCCAAAGGCACACAGTTGTTCATTTCTGAGTACCATCTTGTAATGAGAGGGGGGGAATCAGACTTCCAGGTAACTGCAATGCATTTTCTTGCCACTGCCAATGAAATTTCTAAAAATTTTATTTTGTATTTATTTATTGATTCAATTTTCTCAAAATTTCCAAGTAGGCAAAATTCAGGATCAAGAGGTATTGAAGTTTTTGTGATTGTGGATATGGCTTGGCAAAAGTCAAACCAAAAACTTTTTACTTTGACACATGTCCAGGTACAATGCAAAAATGAGCCCAATTCTACAGAACATCGGAAACATTGATCAGAAAAATCTTTTTTTGTCTTATGAATTTTTTCTGGGGTTAGATATAACTGATGAAGGAAATTATAATGTATAAGTCTATATCGAGCATTAGTGGTGGCAGATAAACTATCTTGACATAAATTCGACCAGATATTATCTTCAATTGTGGTGTTTAAGTCTGATTCCCACCTCTCCTTAGATCGATACAAGGCTGGTTTAGGACATTCATTTATCAACAAAGTTTACATCTTAGAAATACATTTTTAAGGTCCACCATCATGTAACAACCTTTCAAATGCTGTAAGTTTGGGCAATAATATAGTACGGCCCAGATTACTAGTAAGAAATGATCGTAGTTGAAAGTAACACATTAATGTATTATTTGGTAAGATGTACTTTTCTTTTAGTTTTTCAAAGGACATTAATGATCTTTTTTCAAAACAGTCCTCCAATATATGAATACCATTTTGGTGCCACGATTCCAAGATCTTGTTGTTTACAGTCAATGGAATAAGATTGTTTTGTCTCAATGGTGATTTTGGAGAAAGTCCAAACCGCTGGCCAACAGTCTTGTGTATGTCGTACCATAACTTTATAAAGTTGAGGAGAATAGGATTGTCAGTCTTTTTT